TTCTTTTTTTGCTAGATATGTGCATACAATTCGATATTTTAGTTTATTAAAGAACAGCTGTTCTTAAGACGTGCAAATATTCTATCTGATTCATATAATATTGCAATGATAGGGAAGAAAAACAAGAAAAAACTATGTATAAATAGGATAAAAGAAAAAAAAGAAAGAAGAAATATTGTTAGTAAAGATAAACTATATCTCTTTTTTCTCTTGACACATTATTAGTATAGGAAAATAAATAGAATATTAATTAATAAGGTATTTTTTATTATGGAACATCTTTCTGAATAATATGTATTTACAATTCATTAACCTATTTTTTTAAATATTAATCTATTTCATATTTAACTTTTTTTTGATCATAATATCTAAGAATAATAAGTATAGATAATTTGAATTAAGTTATTAGAATGATGAGAAAAAATACAATTAATTCAATATTAATATTTAGAAGAATGAGAACTATAACACTAGATCTAGTATTAAAAAACTCCAAAAAGAGGTTTATATGTGTGATTCATAGTATTAACTTATAAAATATAATGGTTAAAAAGAATAGAACAAAAATTATTATTCTAGATGAGAAACACATAGTAACTTAGTAGAGATCAAAGGAATCAAATTCTATTTAAAGTTTAACAACATTAGACGAAGATAAAATTCATATTAATTTGTAGTAATAAATAAGACAACATTTTCTAATTTAGAAAAGTACTTATTGTTTCAAATTATATAGAACTAGAACTTTGCATATGCATTCGTTGATTCATAGTTCAAAAATTAACATGTAATTCACTCTAGTTAACAAAAATGAGTATAATTGTATGTAAGATTTAATTCGTAATGAAAATATCTAATCATTATTAATGACTTTCATATTATTTAAATCGTAACTGACTCAATTGATAGACTAAAGGTATGAAAAAAAACTCATTTCAATAGATTTCTGAGAATATAAAGTCTTCAAATACTTATTAGAAGAAATTATCGAAACACCAACAGAAATATGTCAAGACAATAATCATTAGGACTATGGAGAATATTATAAATGTATATAATCTTTCCTAGGTAAAAAAAACTTTAAATGTAAACGTACCTTTAGATTAAATTTGATAATTGATAATTTTGATTAATATCATAATGTATAAAACTATCATATAAATTTTGCAGCTATTTGCTGTACATCGGTTCTATGACCATACTGTCGTAATGCAAGGAAATAAAATATCTGAAATAGAAATAATAAGACTACTTATTATATCAATATAATTATTCGGAAGGACAGTTGTTGTAGAAAATAATTAATATCATACATATAATGTGCATGAAACATATCTAGAATAATAATAATATTATTATTTTATATTTGAACATTAAAATAAATTAAATAAAATGCAAATGAATAATATCATCTGAAGTATAATGCAAATAAAAACCATGCTAGTATATTAAAAGAGAAAAGAGAAAGCATGCAAGTAAATAATATGAATTAAATCTTTGTGAATAATCCTTATGTATTATTAGTTTGAACATTCGCAGTGACGGATTTCCTGTTTTTTCTTAATCGGTCTAAGTAAAACATATTCAAACATAGATATTTTTTAAGATAATAGTTTACCTAACATTTTCTGGTATTTAGTTCGTATTTGTTTACATTGTAGTAATGATCGTTTTGGTCGTTTTCGTATAAGTTCATTTTTTGCATCACGCCGATTACGATTACCTACAATTAATCGAAGATCCATAGCTGGTGTATTTTTGAAGACGTTTTGATAGATTTGATGCATGTTTCTTTTAAATGGTTGGAATCGTTTTTCATGTTTATAGTGAAGGAATAATCGATCTGCATAGTTGATTGGCTTTTTATGAATCGTTGTGATTGATTCTCGAGATGTAGTTTCTGCAGTAACATCAGTTTGATCATTATCAACATCAGCTGTAGTCGCTCTTAATGCGGTTTGTGATTGTTGAGGTGTTGGTTGACCAAGTATTTCGTGGCGTAAGAGAATATATTGTTGTTCATTTTCAATAAATGATAAAATTGATGTTGCATAAATAAATTCATTAAAAAATTTATGAAATTGTTGATCAATAAAAGACGAAGGATAACTAAAATTTATTGATAAACAAAGATAAATAATATTCAAATAAAAAATATACACTGATACTTACCCATTATATAATAACATTAACTTGATAGAACGGCGTTCATAATTAAGTATTTCAAATGCTGATGAATATCGGACAGCTCTTTTAAGAAGTGTTTGTACAATATTAACAAATACATGTCGAGGATGATCCGAACTAAATGGTACCACATATGGTTCAGCATTTGGTTTATGATAAACTGATGTTGTAAGAACACCATGTTTATTTGTAAGAAGTACATCAAGAAATGGTAGACTTTGACTAATTTTATAATCTAATTTAATATTTGGATGCCATTGATTTGCTTCGTTTAATAATATTTTCAATTCGTCTTCTGAACTATTCCATGTCATAAAAATATCATCGATATATCTGAAAGGAGTTGAGTACAAGACAGTTATGAGTACTTTCATTATAGACTACTTACCTCCCAAAGAATTCACCGCTAATATCTTGACGATGAACTAATTCTCTTTGCCATTTCCACATAAATATATTAGCTAGAGTTAATGTAAATGATGAACCCATGGCACCACCTGTAGTTTGTTGGTAGAATTTATTGTCATAAACGAAAAAATTCTCTTTTAATACAATAGAAGCCAATTTTCGAATTGAATCCAGAGGAATTCCTTTCACTTTTCTATAACCATGCATATGGAGGAATTCCACAAGAATATTTGATGCTTCTTCTTGTGGTAACATAGTATATAAATTACGAATATCAAATGTACAAAAAAGTGTTGATGGTTTCATTGGACCTTTGTTTGCATATATGTTCATAGCACAAATTAGATGAGCACCATCAATAATTGTTGTTTTCTTACATTTATCATCGAATATTGGCCGAAGAATTTTATCTAAAAGTTTCGAAATATTGGTTGTTGGCGAACGAATTGTATTTTCAATGGGTCTAAGTGGAATTCCATCCTAATTCAATACAAATAAAATGAAATATCATTATATAAAACATCTATTTTACCTTGTGTGTTTTTGGATTGAAATATAAATGAGCTAATTCAGTTGTTTTTCGATCAGGTATCATCTCATTGTATTGCCATTGTAAAATAAATTTCTTTGATCGAAGATTATTTAGTAATTGCGTAACTTTGTTTAAAATTTCAGGTAATGGATTTTCTTTTATCATTATAAACGTATTTGTATCCATAAAGTATTGTTGAACTTTTTTCTCAAATTCAACAGCTGAACCAATGTAAAAATTCTTACTTTTATCTGTGACACGAATAATAAGTTTCAATTGTTTAATTTTATGTCGAATCGATGCAGTAGTCTGGGATTGTTCTTGAGCTTCAATATGATCTTTGTATGGTAAGGGAGTAAAATAACAACTGTTCAAATAATTAAGAAGTTGATTCCCATATTCTTCAAAAATTGCATGCTGTCTTGGTACATGATGATATTCTGTAAGATTATTTTGGACTTTAGAAAGTATGTCTTTATGTTCCTTTTTAATTTCAATTTCTTGTTGTTTTCGAGGACGAATTGCACTTTGATTTGTTCGTATATATGATGGACCTAAATAAATTAAATTTCAAGTTTTTCTTTCAAAAAAAAAGGAAATTACTATTTACCAAGTGAAACATATTGCCATTCACGTTTATTAAATGGATTTGATATTAAATCGAGATATGGTTCAGGTGATACACCAATAAAATTATTCTTCAATGATAGTTGTTTACGATGTTGAATTAATTTATTACGAAAAACAGACATTCTGCTCGAAATAGATTATTTCATTTCATTTGTTCGATATGTTACGTATCGACTAATATCATTTAATAGAGATGTACCTTGAAGACTTGTATTATTTAATAATATCGATTCGAATTGATGATTATATTCTTGTAATTTAGTTTCATATACAGATAAAGAAATATGTAACCATTGACGTTTTGCATCTTGTATCATTTTATGACGCTTATTATTCAATTCAATAGTTTTATGTTCATTATTCAAAGGTATATAAGTAATTGGTGCAACTACATTTTCTAGTTGATCAAGCTCAGACGGTAAAAATTTATAAAGAATTCGCATTTCGAACTGAAGAAGTTCCTCCAAAATTTGTAATTGCTTCTGTCGTATAATAATTAACTGATCAATGAATTGATTCTAAGAAAAAGAACTTAAATTCTTTGTTAAAAATAAAAATATATTCTTACTGGATTTAAATTAGGATAGGAAGTCATAATCGTTTCATATAATTGATTTGCTTGAATCTCATCTTGAAATTTGGTAAGCTGGTTATTATTTCTTGTTAATAAATATTGTCGCTGATGATCGACATATTCTTTTAGACAAGTATCAACTTGATTGACTGATATAGGTATCATTAAATATGAACTAAGTTGAGTTGTAAGTTCTGTTTCATACTGATTAATTTGTTCGTTTAACTGTCCTATATAATTCGTAACATATTGAAAACATAGTTCATAATCATTTGTTTTTGTTAACAGTTGAACTTCTTCCTATGATGATAATAAGAAATAACCTAATAAAAGCAATACTTAGTATACAAAAAAACAAAATTACCGGCCAATGATGCTCTGTACGACCAATCTCTAAAAAGGATTTACATAATTTTAAATGAACTTCCAGACAATATATATAATCTAATATGATTAATCGTGTATAAATATATTGTTTATGTTTATCATTCAATGAATAATTTAATCGTTTACTTAATGTTTGAAAAAGTAACCAAGATGATCGTTGTAAGTACATTGGTCGTCTATAATGATATAATGAGTGAGAAATTGTATAGAAAGAAGTAATGAAAATTACAAACGAACCGATAGACATAATTTAGAATATTATTCTTGTTTTCTTGTATCATTGGCATTGTTGTTGTTGTTTCTATCTGTTGTTTTGCCTTTTTCGATGATGGTTGACGTATAGATATTGAACTTGTTGATTTTGGAACTACTGAATTTGCTTTTAATTCTTGAAGTGATATATTTCGTTTACGCTTATTCAAATGTGTTGTAACTGTTGTTGTTGCTGTTGACTGGCGTGATTGATTACTTACTTGATCTAATGAAGTACGAAACACTGGTGCTGTTAATTGTTTGTTATAATAGGCTAAATCTCTCATGCGCTGCTCTATTCGTCTTGTTTTCTCATTTGGATATTTGAATTTATCAAGTAATTTTTCTATTTTTGCTGGTCTCATTCCACGTTTACGACATTTTCGACGAAAACGTTGATCTCTTCGATTACCATGACACTTTATCTTTAATTGTTGATTATTATCATCGTTGACATTCATTCTACAGTAGTAGTTATAGATCGATAGATTTATCTGAAAAGAGACAAGAAAAAAAAGCATGATATATGAAATAAATGATAAACAAATGATAGATTAAATGAAATATAAAGTTTAATCAGAAAGGAGAGTAGATTGAACTTTAAATTTATATATACACTTGATACGTTCACTGATTTTTTCACAACGTTGATCCATAATTTCAATCAAGAATAAAGATAACCTTCGATTTCCATTGATGAAAATACCATCTGTATATAATTTTTTTACATTCTCTTCAAACTTCTTTTTAAATTCTTCTTTTTGATCTGCAGCTGTTGTGAGATATAGTGGAAATAAATTATCTCTAACTTGTAAAGTTACTTCTTTATATTGATTCAATAATTGTTGTCGAATCTCTATATTTTCAATTGTTTCAATGCTTGTTGCTTGAGCTAGAGGTAAATGTTGAAACGATTGACTAGGTGAATTATAATAATCAATTTGTTGCTTCAAGAAATTGTATTCTTCTTCTGCTGTTTCTTGTTCATATTTACTTTGACAAATCTTTTTCATTATTTCAATCTATGAAAACGAATTAAAGTTGAAGAAGGTATTTATTGCCTACAAAAAAACATACTTGATATTGATTGGAATTATGTTGAATATATTCTAATTTCAATTTTCGAATGTGATAATCATAATGTATCAATTCAATTTGATGTTCAGTTTTTGAACGGAAAGATTGAATATGTTTTTCAATATATGTTTCTATTATTTTTTGAACCATTATTGAATAACCACATATATTATTTACTTTTGTATTCAGTTCAGTTTTACATATATTTAGTTGACTATCTAATGCATGTAAATGTTGGTTGACAAAATTCAAATAAATTTCATGAGAATTTGTTGTATTGTTAACTTTCAAAAAACTTATAATATCTTTTGGCCATATCGGTACTGTTTCGGATGATATTATCAACTCTCCTCGACCCGATTTCAAATATACCGTCCAAAGTACATGATAAGTTTGTATAATCATGATTTTATAGATTATAATTGCTATTTCTCGTAATTGTTTAATATCGATAGCTGTTGCTGTATTTGTTGATTTTATTAATAATTGTGCCTGATACAACATTTGTTTAAATGAATTATCATGTTTTGTTAAAAAATTTGGAATTTTCTCAATTTCAATTTTCATATCTTTCATGAGAACTTCTTCATTATGCGTGGTATTTGTTGATAACTCGCGCAATTGTTGTGATAAAATTAACTCCTTAATTAAAGTAATGGAATAAATATAACAAAAGTAATTTATCTACGTATATTTACATTTAGTTCTTGTATTTCTTGATTATGATTATTATCATCTTCTTTTTCGTCATCAGTTTCGAGAATCTTATAATTCCATGGAAGATCAGTATCTATTTTATCGAACTGTTGCAGATCATTTGTTCGTTCATTATTAACTGGCACATAATGCTGTCGTCCCAATGAAAGTAAGGTATCTGTAATAGTAAAAAGATACAAAGAAACTATTTCTTAATAGAGAATATTAATTAAACAAAAAGTACAAACCATGTCGAGTGGCATATGCTGGTAATGAATGTGATTGAGCAGTTGAATATTCATCATGTTCTGCAGATTGATTAAGCATCTGCAACATTCTGTCCATTCTTGATCTTGTAGAGCGAATTTGATCTTGTCTGTAGCTGTTCATGACTATAGTTGAAAGTAGATAACTAAAACATAATGAAATTGATTTATAAATATAAATCTACAAGCAGAAATAAAAGATAATGAATAAAAATAGAAGAAATAGAAAACTGATTAAAATAATAAAAGAAAAGTTGCAGTTCATTGAAATAGTTGCAGGATCATTGAGCAAATTGCTACATAGAAGGACGACGAACAAGATCTTGACACCAATTACCACGACGATCATCAACTATGCGCGCATTTATATCATTAGAATTGTTATTTTCCACAATCATACCATCTAAATGACCCAATATATTTAATTTAGTTTGAGCACGTGTAATAAATAATGCTTCGATTAATCGATAAAATAATTCTGTATATCCCTCTGGCATCACGGCAATAATTGTAGCATTGTAAAGATCAAGATGCAAATTAGGTTTAAGACATTCACGTTTATCTTTTAATAATTGTATTTGTTTTGAACGTTGGTGTATCGAAAATGTATAATTTTCTGAAGGTAATGGAGGTAAATCAGTCATGTATGCACCAGCTTCTTGATCATGATACGAATGAATATTCGTTGGAAACGTTAATGAAAGATCGAAAGCTGTACAAACACTTGACAAATCTGATGTAAGATTTTGTGTTTCTGCTTCCATTGTTGACATTGGTACAAAACACCAGTATTGCGGATTACAATCCAGAAACATTTGAATAGCATATGAACAACGAGCTGAATGTTTGTAAAGTAATTGATTATCAGCTGTTAATTGTCTAGAATTTATACATGTATAGTAATATGAATGTATATATAAAGATTGAAAAAATTGAATTACTCTTGTGATTTAGTTTGTTGTCGCATACGACTACTATTTAATGAACCAAGAATAAATTCATGCATGATTCGATTACCATGTTCACGATGATCTATATATATAGGATATAATTATCATTTATTAAAAAGAAAATATACTAACATTTGAGTTGTTCATTCAATGTTAATGATGTATATCCACTATAATCAAATTGACCACAAGGGCATGTCAATGCATAGAGAACATTTTTGGTAGTACAAGTCTAAATAAATGAGAAAAATCAGAAAATCAAACATATGATAGTATATACCACTGGACAATTGAGAATAGCTTCATATCCATTGACAAAACGATGTTTCTGTGCTGATGAAAATTGAACAACTGGTTGATTTTGTCGACCACGAATAAGAACATCTTGTATGGGAAAACAAAATCGACATGTAACTTGTTCACATGGTTCTAGACCATAGAGCGCTTTTGGTTCATCAATGCAGAAGATACCATGATGATTGTATAATGATGGCTTAGCATTACGAAAAGAACATGTTTTCATAAAAAATAATTCATCTAAAATACAGACGTAATCATATGATCAAAAGAACAAAAAATTATATACCATCAATTTGTAGATAAAATTCCATAGCTAATGCATGTTCAACTATTCGTAATTCGTCCATACCAATAGTATGCATTGGAAGTAAACCATATTGAATTCGTTCTTGTGTCATAATATTCATACAAGTACGAAGACGTTCATAATTATAATCAAGAATAGCATTATCAATTTGAAAACGTTTAGTTAAATCTCCATATAATTTATCATATACATTCATGAAGAATGGTCGAACACTAATATGAACACTTTGATCAGTTACAGTAAATGGTTGATGAAATGTATAATGATTACGACGTCGTCGTTGTTCATTTGTTAAGTTTCGAGAAGGAATATTAGCCAAAAGTAAATGATCTCGATTAATAGGTCCAAATCGATCAAATGTTGGATAAGCTGGTAACAGTTCGAGACGATTCACAACAGGATTTGAACACTTTAATGGTTGTATTTCCTGTTTAATTGATTGATGTCGAAGATTATTATTCTGTTCATCATCATCATCAATATATCCCATACTATTTGATGATAATAACTCTGAAGACAACAGTTGTTGTTCTTGTGTTCGATGCATTGGTCTTGAAAAATAATAGTTTATTATCTAAAATAATAAGCTAAATAAAATAAGAAATATAACATAAAACATCTGTTGATAATGAAAATTTCCATAAATTGATGTTCATTCTTTGGATGATATTCTAGATGCGAAGAACAATCAATACAAACAATCCCCAATATAAAATAGATATTAATTTGTTTTAATATAATGAATATAATATAAACGGAAATGAATCAAAAGATGTTATATGTAGTATTGTAATATGATGATGATGTTGATCTTAATAAAAAATAATATTAAGATATATAATATCTATTGTTCTAATCTAAGAAAAAGTATAATTTGTACTTACTTATATGTTAGCTAAAAAAATATGAATATTATATAGAAAACGGTGAGTATTTATATCTATACTACGCCTTCATATATGTGGGCGGAAATACTTATTTAATGGTGAATATGAATCAATGCATAGCAATGTATTTTGTTGTTGTTTATAAAAGATAGATAAGAAAAAATATATCTTTGCCCTTAATACGTGCAAATATGCTATTTCATAAAAAAAAATTTGAAGGAAAGAGAATGAAGATGATAATTACTTTTTTATATATTTTTTTCTGTATATGTACATCAATGAAATATAGAATAAATATAATATTTATAATGAATTAATTAAGTAATAGTAATAATAATCTAATTTTCGTTTCAATCTTCAACAGTGCTATCCGATAATTGCTTCATTGAAATTGAAATTGAATTATCAATATTCTAAGAGAACATGTAATAAAATAATGATTTGACTCTATATGAACTGAAAGCAAAAGAAGTAAGAGATAATAAATATGCAATATAAAAGATTTGTAATAATAATAGTGACTGATTTCATCAAATGTTGGCGTATTCTTCCTTATTAAACATAGACAATCAGATCAGTAAACATGAAGTTCATCAGCATACAAATGAACTAAAATCTAGAAAGAAATATTACGTATAATACAACTAACAAAAAGATATAGATAAGAATACAGTAGTTGTGATATAAAATCATCTTATGATTATCATAGATAGCCATATTATTGAGTTTGAACACGGGTAAATTCATAATATACTACTAAAAGAAAACTAAAAAGAAACAACTTACTTGCTTATGTGATGATAATCGTTGTTGAATGATGAATGAATATGAATGAAGAAACTAACGTCCTTATATAGTGTCGAAGGGAAGAGAAGAAGAGAGGATGGAATTTAGGTATATGTACGTGACAGAAGGCGTATTATTCATATAAAAGATAAAGAATGTCACGTCTTGAGGGTGGGAAGGATACGTGAAGGA